TCAATTAGAATCGTCGTCCTGCGCACTAAGGAATTTCTACGTAGAAATGAGTCAGCTACCAATGTCTTCTTCCCCTTCTCTTCTTCTATATAAGGATACTCCATCCTTATCAATCTTGCACCAATGTTCTGGAAAATTATACCATTGTGTTCATAAGAGTGAAGGGAGCAATCTGGTGTTGTTGGTTGCCGCCGAAGTCGCCGGAGTGGGGAGTAATCATCGCCGGAAGTTTCGCCGGAAAATTTCCAAAACCTCCGTTAAGCTTCAAGGTAAGCCCGTAGATATATCTAGTGACTAGAATGTTCGTATAGATCGTTTCTACGTTCATAAACGGTCGTTTGGTTGAGTTTTGTGGTTGACATGTTTGAAGAACCAAGAATCATAAACCATGAAATTGTTAGTAAAATTACGAATTAATGACTCTAAAATGATCTGTGAACATTGGAGAACATTTTTATATAATTAAATTGAAGTTTGGTGATTAAAAATGATAATGTTAAAACTGACCCGAGGAAGAAGATGATGAATAGTGGCCGAAAATCGATTATTTACTTACTAAAAATCTATTAGAATTTTATTCAGAACAGTGGTTTGAAGTCAGTACCATTTAATCGATTATTTATATTGTAAAAATCGATTATTATGAATTAATTGATTATTTATATTGTAAAAATGGATTATTATGAATTAATTGATTATTTAAATTGTAAAAATCGATTATTATGAATTAATTGATTATTTAAATTGTAAAAATCGATTATTATGAATTAATGGATTATTTAAATTGTAGAAATCGATTTTTTATGAATTAATCAATTATTTATATTGGAAAAATCGATTATAATGAATTAATTGATTAAAATTGTAAAAATCGATTATAATGAATTAATTGATTAGTTAAATTGTAAAAATCGATTATTATGAATTAATGGATTATATAAAATTATATAAATCAATTTTTATAAATTAATTGATTATTTTAAATTATTTTCCTCAAATTCTAGATCCTGCTACGAAAATGTTCCTGAAAATATGCTCTAAAATCCTATTTTTGATAACAATTAATTATGAACAATACAAATATGATTTTGTATAATAAAAATGATGTTTTAGGCATATAAAACATTATGTGATGCATGACGGTAAGTTAGAGTGTTAACAGTAAAAACTAGACCGCTATTTGTTATTAATTGTTTTGTTGATTAATGATTATGATGAATGATTATTATGGATGATCAAGAATGATGAACTAACTAATCAAAATGATTATTGATGATTGAGCCATGAGTATAATTAATATATTGATAATTATTAAACGATTTGTATTGTTAAGGATATCTAGAAGACTTTAAGATATACCTATTAGCTAATTGATGTTAAAACTATCTAGAATAGATCTTAGAATGAACTTATGAAAACATGAATAATTGATGGATTAGATAAAAATGCATAAACGGGATTCGTAGTCCAAACTAGAGGATCACTCGTTTGGGAATGCCCGATCTAATGTTGATCAATTGCTATATATTTGTTGCCTTAACTGACTACAGTTAAGTGTCCGAA